AGCTTGAGGAGATGGAAGGATCAAAGAAGGGTTTCTTTAAGGATGAGAGAGGCCTGGATGTTTGTAGGAATCAGTCCAAGGAGTTAGGAGGGAATGGGATCAAGGGTACAAGTAGAGGGGTTGGCTTTGGAGATGAGGAAGGTCATCAGAAACTAGAGTAAAGGAGAAGAGATGGGATATGATGCCAAATGATCTTGAGATGTAAAGAAAGAGAGAAGAAAGAGCTCAGCGTGGGTGAGCTCGATTTTCTTAGTGAAATATAATGTGAAGTCCTCTGCTAAGAAAGTATAATCAGGGGACGATATAGGAGTGCTGAGGAGAAAAGAGAAGGCTGGAAGTCCTGGAGTAATGGCTGTTAGAAGGGTAATAGAAAATCTGTTAGGGATGAGTAAAATAATTACCTTACTATAGGGCCCAACTGAGATTAAGTAACACAAATTTGTAGTAGATTCAGTCAGCGTAGCTAAGTGACTTTTTCCAGCACTGAATAGGAGCAGGGGAGTCAATTGATGGGGATCATCCAAGGTTAGAGTTTGGTAAGGTGGAAATGGCAACTGGATAAGGGGGCAAGGGGTTGCATAGTAGAGGAATACATAAGGCTGAATTGTTTAGCTGCATAGTCAAGATTGGAAGGAAGGAAACAAGTATTATTAAATACCTACTACGCATCTGGCATTCTGTTAAGCACTTTACAAACGTTGTCTTATTTGATCCTCATAACAACCCTGTGAGGTAGGAACTATTACGATCCACATTTTACAGCTAAGAACACTGAGACAGACTGAGGTTAAATGATTTGACTAGGATCAAGCAGCTAGTAAGTATCTGAGGCCAAATTTGGATTCCGGTCTTCTTGACTCGAAGCCTAGCATTCCAGCCACTGCACCACCTAGCTGCCTCTTGTTGGCAGGGGCAGGGAGGGCAGTAAAGCCAGAGCAAGAGTAAAGTCTTTGTACAGTACTGAAGGTGGGGAAGACTAAAAGGTCCTGGTGAGAACAAAGGATGGATTTAGAGGTTGTGAGGTCCGGAAAATGATGGAATGATAAGATTTATGGTTGATAAATTTTTTTTTGAATTCTTGATCATTGAAGTTGATCTTTTGTGGGTGATGATGAGCTCCAAGATCAGACTGATTCTGTATGTGGCTGAGGTGGAATGAAAAAGTACATTAGGAGAATTGATAAGATTGAGGAAGGGGAAGAGTAGAGTGTTTAAGGAAATGTCACCTCTTTTACTTTGTTGGAGTCCTCCAGTCTAAGAGAGATCAAAAGGGGAAAAAAAACAACTCCAAAGTATAGTCCCTTAAGTAAACTAGTTTTATTGTTGTTGCTACTGTTATTGTGGTGTTAAAACTTGCTAACCAGGGAGTATTGACAGTATCTGCAAACAAACTCAACTCAGTTTTTTCTATGAGGCTTCTTTTATGCACAAAAGCACCAAAATCAAGAGAACTGTGTGCTCTGATTGGCTGCACTACAAGGTTCAGGAACACACAGGCACACTGACAAACAAATTCACAGTTAAGAAATATCCATTTTTTTTTAAAAAAAGATATGAATGATACACGGTACAGGCAATTGTAGAAAAATGGTTGAGTTTAGAAAAATACATATTTTCACTCCACGTTACAGTATCCTATTTTCATCAGACATTTACCACTAACCAAAAGCTAACTATAGTCTGATATACATATTGGAGGAAATGGCAGCATTCTCAGCATTTTTCTACAATTAATTGCAGCTAATAAGACATTGGCACAAAAAAAAAGATGTGGTATACAGTACTGAAGCAAAAAAATATCTCTTGAAATAGGACAAAGGGTATCAGATGCTTCCTCTGCTACATAATTTTATACACTGGACTTTCTCAACAAACTACAGCAGTCTTATGTTTATTTGGAACCAAGACTGAGTTACTTAGGTTCATAAGAAAACCCAATTTCAAGGGGTTAGGGTAGAAAGGAATCCCATGATTCCCACACTGAATTCCTTGCCACAGGAGGAAGAGTGGCCTGGGGATTGGTAGATAATAGCCTCTAGGACAGGCCTAGGGTGAGCTGTGTATATAAAATGATCTGTAAAGGAGAGATTGCTGAGGGGTGGCAGCAGAGGGAGGTCCACAAATGTCAATGGGGGGCAAGGATGTGGCACCTTCTTCTGTGACCAGTGTATCCAGGGACATGTGAGAAGGTTCAACCTGTTTACTGAAAAGGGTGGCAAGATCTCCATGATTCCTAGAAGATGAAAGGAGAATATCATTTAGAATAGGGCTGGACAATTATGGTATACAAACACAAGGGTACATTATTATCCTATGAGAAATAACAAAAGTATAGATTCAGAGAAACCCAGGAGGATTTATACAAGCTGATATAGAATCAAGTGAGTAGAACCAGGAGAACAATTGTTATAAAGACTACAAGACTTTAAAGCAAAACAACTGTGAAAGACTTTTAAAAGTAAGGGACCTTATACCACATCACACCTATCAGAATGGCCAATGTGACAAAACAGGAAAATGATAAATGCTGGAGAAGATGTGGGAAAATTGGAACACTAATGCACTGTTGGTGGAGTTGTGAACTGATCCAACCATTCTGAAGAGAAATTTGGAACTATGCCCAAAGGGCTATAAAAAATGTGCATACCCTTTGACCCAGCACTAGCACTTTTAGGGTTGAATCCTAAAGAGATCATACAAATGGGGAAAAGACCCACATGTACAAAAATATTTATAGCAGCTCTTTTTTGTGGTGGCAAAGAATTGGAAATTGAGGGGATGCCCATCAATTGGGTAATGGCTGAACAAGTTGTGGTATGCGAATGTAATGGAATACTATAAGAAATGTTGAACAGTCAGACCAGAAAAACCTGGAAAAAACCTTGTATGGACTGAGGCTGAAGTACGCAGAACCAGGGGAACATTTTACACAGTAACAGCCACGTTGTGCGATGACTAATATTGATAGACTTAACCCTTCTCAGCAATGCAAGGATCTAAGATATCTCCAAAGGTCTCATGATGTAAAATGCTATCCACATCCAGAGAAAGAACTAGGGAGTTTGAATGCAGGTCGAAGCATACTATTTGCTCTTTTTTTTTTTCTGTTTTGTTTCTTCTTTCTTGTGGTTCCTCCTATTGGTTCTAATTCTTCCTCACAACATGATTAATGTGAAAATGTTTCATAGGAATGTATATGTAGAGCCTATATCAGATTACATGCTGTCTTGGGGAGGGAGACAAGCAGGGAGGGGGAGAAAATTTGAAACTCAAAAATTTATGGAAGTGATTATTAATAACTAAAAATAAATTAATTTTAAAAAGAGTAAAGGATCTTAAAGGTTGCTTAGTCCATCTTGAATTTTTTTTAAATTACAAATGAAGGAACAGAGACCAAAAGAAAGAATATGATTTGCCTGAGATCACACAGATAATAATAGGTGGGATTTTAACCCGAGTTCTCCATCTTCATATCTAATATTATTTCCACTCTGTCATTTTGGTTTTAGTTGAGTTCAAAATAGGTATGAGTCACAGCCAACTGAAGACTATTCAGAAATGAAGATAAAATATTCCAGAAATTACAATGAAAATTAGTGGAGAAAAATGGTTCAGTTTGGAAAAATTCATATTTTCACATCACATTTCAGGATCCTATTCTTTGTCAGACACTCACCACTGACCACAAGCTAACTATAGTGCTAATGTAGTGTACTGTTAGGGGAATAGGTAGAATTCTTAGCGACTCCCTTGCAAATTACCTCTCCATTAACTAATGCGTGACCATTTGGACACATGTTTGAATTCTTCTCTGGTAAGGCAAACAGTTTTAAGTTAATGAGGAGATTTGATATAAACATCGCCAGCTAATACCATCACTGCCAATATACAGAAAACATTTTCTACTTCATGGTAACTAATAGAAGGTGATACTAGTGAACACATATTTGGGTAACAGAATGAGAGGTGTTGGGATGTAATGGAGAGAAGGCCAGTGCTGGCATTAGGATGGCTTATGTTCAAGCCTTACCTCTGACATATACTAGCTATGTGCCCTTGGACAAGTTTCTTAACCTCTCAGTGCCCCAGGCAACTCTCAAAGACTAGTAAGTCAACAGCATTTTAACAAGCTCCTGTTATATGCTAGGCAATTTGCTAAGCACTAAGGATGCAAAAAAAAAAAAGATTGTCCCTGCCCTCAAGGAGTTTATAGTCTAATAGGGGAGATGACAGAGAACCACTATGTGCAAACAAGATACATACAAGATCAGTTGGAGATGATTCGGGACATTAACATTAAGGGGGATCGTCAAAAGCTTCTCGGAGAAGGTGAGATTTCGATCTGTGACTTGCAGGAAGCCAGGAAAACCGGGAGGCAGAGAGGAGAAGGAAGATAATTCCAGGCATTGGGGGCAGTCAGGGAAAATGCACCGTCAGGAGATGGACACCTTATTGGAGAAACAGCCAGGAGGCCAATGTCACTGGATTGTAGAGCATGTGGGGGTGAATAAGGTTTGAGAAGACTGGAAAAGTAGGAGGGAGCCAAGTTAGGAAGTTATTAAATGCCAAAGGAATTTGCAGACTCAGATTTGCTCTGCACACATTGGGAAAGAGTTTCCTATAGTAATGATATAACAGGTATGTTTCAGAATGAATGAATGAATGAATGATTAGATGATAGATAGGTGTAGAAGAAAGAAAGAAAAAGGAAGGAAGGAAGGAAGAAAGGAAGGAAGGAAGGAAGCGTGTAAGTGTATTCTGGCTGTTTAAAGCTAGTTCATCAATGAGGGCCCTTTATCAACAGAAAGGATTATTTTGGGCTATGATAACACCAAAGTGTGGTAATCATTAGAAAGAGACAAGAGCCATTGTCACACTCCCTGAAGGATGTTTCAGAAGCTACGGGAGGGTTGTTTCCCATATCATTCATTACTTTTCCCTAAATGTTTTGCCATATGATTTAAAGGTTTGCTAACATTTTGTTTTGTTTTCTAGGACACAGCAGGTCAAGAGAGATATAGGACAATTACTACAGCTTATTATCGGGGTGCCATGGGCTTTATTCTAATGTATGACATCACCAATGAAGAATCCTTCAATGCTGTGCAAGATTGGTAAGTAAGACCCAAGTGCCTGTTGGTGAAAAATTGTTTTGGGTTTTCCTTTGAAGCTTCTCTATCCTTTTCTTCCCCAAAGAAATAGTATTTTCTACCTTCCTTATTTATTGCATATTGGGGTCACTCTTGCATGACAACCTCTTTACATGTCTACTAAGTAGATATCCAAGATTTTTTTCTAAAAATCAGTGCCAAGTTGTGATCTTAACCATCCTCTAGTCGAGTTTTATTATGAGCTGAATTGTGTTATCTTTCCAAGTCTTGTCACCTATTATACTGTTTGACAACCCATCGCTCTTCATTCCCTTTAAAAAAAAATTGGATGTGCTTGTGTGTTTTCCCATAGATGGTGAGTGATTGCTTCCTCCTAGAAATTCTTCAGTAGATTTGCAATAGTGAATTCTTTAAAGTGGACAGGCATGGATCCAGTGCAATAGGGAAAGGTAGAACTAGAGAGAAAGCACTGTCATTTGGAAAGAGTCTTGGCTAAGGAATCAGAGGAGCTGGGTTCAAGTCCTGACTGTGACACTTAATATCTAGGTGATCTTGGGCATGCCACTCAACCTTGCTGGGCCTCAGTTTCCTCTTCTGTAAAATAAGAGGATGGAACTAGATGACCTCCAAGGTCTCTCCCAGCCCTAGATCTCTGAGCCTTTTCTCATTCATATCTGTATTTTGACATTCAAAAGAAAAAATCTCTATAAGAGATTGCTTTGATCAATTCAATAAACATTTATTAAGTCCCTACTTTATGTCAGGCACTGTAGTAAGCACTGAGAATACACAAAGAAGCAAAAGATAGTCTCTTGTCCTCAAGGAGCTTGTAATCTAATGGACAAGACAACATGAAAACAGATAGATACAAAGCAAGTATACACAGGATAAACAGGAAATAATTAAGAGAGGGAAGGCACTGGAATTAAGAGGGATTGGGAAAGGCTTTCTGTGGGAGGTTGTATTTTAATTAGGTTCAGGAATAGGGGAATATCACCATGATTTTAGTTTGCCTCATCCAGTTCTGGTGTCCTCTGTCCTAGGAGGAAAGCATCACATGAGGAAACATTTCAAGAGCTGAGTGCAGGGAGCCAGATTAGGGGCCCTAATTCATTGTTATCCCTCTTAGTAGCTGGGAATCCAGCCAGAGCTATGGGGTTCTTCATGGCCAACATGTTTGAAGACAGGTGTGCTCCATCCCAACATGGAAACATGAAACTCTCTCTGTAGTGATAGAATAGCATTGATTGCCATTTGGCGAAGATTGTTGCTTCATGCTCCCAGTCTCCTTCCTAGTTCAGAAATAGGTGGTCATAGGTGATTTCTAATATGGAAAAAATTAACAACTACTTGAAGGAAAGGGGGAAAATCATCAAAACACATTTGACTAATAGCCATTAAATGAGGCACTTGTTTCATATTAACATCCAAAATAATGTTTGCATATAAATAAGATGTAGAGTTGGAAGAGATCTCAGAGGCCATCTACTAAAACTCCTTCATTTTACAGATGAGGAAACTGAGGCTCATGTAAATTAAGTAACATGTACAAGGTTGTACAACTAGTAACTTTCCAAAGAGGGACTTGAATCCATGTCCTCAATCCTCTTTCTATTGAATATAAACACCTCAAGGGGAATTTGCCAGGAAAACTAGAGCTTGTCTCAGATTTCCCTCTAATTTTATTTCCTTGCTGCTAGCATTTTCATATTAGATTTTATTATTGAAGTCACATCTAGGATATATAAATTTGTCCCTGGGAGACTCCTGGAACCACCTCAGGTCTATCAATCAATTATCACTTATGTTGGGACCTATTGTTGGCCAATCAGTGAGAGCCAGAGTGATTTGGAGTTAAGGCATGGTCCTTAAGAAAGCAATCTAGCCTGTGAACCCCAAGAAATGTTGCACTTATGTTAGGCATTTCAACTACAAATACAAAGAAGGGAATAATTCCTACTCTCAGGAAGCCTAAATTCTATTGTTATGAGTCTTTTCATCAAGGCTTCTCCAGTTGCCACAGAAAATTTTCTCCCCATCTCAGTCAGAATTCCAGTTGTACTCCTTGACCATAATACCATATAAGATACAGTGAGAAAAGTGCTGGAATGTGAGTTATAGGACATTCAAGTCTTCTAGACATGCCACAGCTTGTTATCTGTGTAATCTTGAATAAGTTATTTAACTCTCTGGGCCACAATTTTCATCTGTAAAATAAAATAAAGCAGTAGGACTAAAAGACCTTCCATCTCCAGTGACCTTCTAGCTTGAACTACCTGGCATATTTCCTAGTATATGTGCTAAGGCTTCTGGCTCCCTCCCACTTCCCCATAGCTCTCAATTATTTCAATATCCACATCACCATGAAAAAATGGATAATTATAGTTTCTTGAAATAGACACTTTCTAGAACTCTCGTGCAGAGATGTAATGCTACCAGACAGGAAGGATCTGGATGGGTGTCAGGCACCCTTCATGCAGGGCCACACACACTGCCAAAATGACTCAGACCCCATGGCCACTCTTGCCCTGCTGACTCAAGGCAAACTACTTTACTGCTATGCATGCATTAAAGACGAGTTTGATTGACTCACCTCTAGAATGGTCCTAGAACAGATATCTCCTGTTCAGCTCATTAAAACTTAGGAGACAACGAACATAAAAGCTGACCTGGAAACTGGAAGTCTGTATGCTTGGTTCTAGCTCAAAAAAAATAGTTTTAAATGTGACACCTAGTACAGAGGCATTAATCTTCCAGTTTGTGAAGTCGTGGGGGTAATCTGGGAGTTAGTAGAAATTTTTACGGATATGCTTCAGGACAATAGAATTTTATGAAAGAAAAGAATTTTATAAAGGAAAGAATTTTATAAGGAGCAACCTTTAAAAAAAATTCAGTACAATAGTTGGGAACTTCGATGTCATCTAGTCCAACCTAGATCTGAGTTCAAATCCTACCCCTGACATCTATCTATAGGTAATCCGTCAAGCCTAACACCCTCATATTAGAGATGAGGAAATTGAAATACAGGGGTGTTAAATGACTCTATACAGATATAGATATATAGGTATGGATATGGATATGGGTATCAGGGTGTATAGATGGGGGCAGGTAGGAGACATAGTAGATGGAGTGCCAGGCCTGGAGTCAGGAAGAATCATCTTCCTGAGTTCTAATCTGGCCTCAGATAAACTTACTAGTTGTGTGACCCTGGATAGGTCTATTAACCCTGTTTGCTTCAATCTTCTCATCTGTAAAATGAGCAGGAGAAGGAAATGGCAAACCACTCCAGTATCTTTGCCAAGAAAATCCCATATGGGTTCACAAGAGTTGGGTATGACTGTTAACAACAAGAACAACGTGGGTATAGATATAGATACATGGGACCAGACCTGTGATTACATTAGGGTAGGAAACATCTGATGAAGACTTCCCTTCAATTTAAGTCAGTACCTTCTCTTCACTTTAGAGTCTTAGAGAAGTATCTAGGAGGCACTGAGAGGATAAATGTCTTGCCCAGGGTCTTACAGTTAATATGAGTCACAGTCCATACTTGAACCCAGGTCTTTGTGATTCTAAGGCTTGGCTGTCTACCCATTCTGCCCCTCAACCTCTCCCTACATAGGGAGACATGTGACTGACAGTTTACAAAGCATATATAAACATTACTGCTTTTGACCCTCACAAGAGCCTTATGGAGCAACATAGTGGAGAGAAAGAGTCGGTCTTGAAGTCAGGAAGATCAGGGTTTGTATCTAAGGTGTACTGACTGCATGAACCTGAACAAGTCACTTAACCTGTCAATGCCCTTAAGCAACTTTCTAAGACTACAGATCCAGAAAAATTGCTCATCTGCATCAATAAAGGAAATTTCCTTACAGAGCATTGTCTTCATCAATGAAATCTCAAATATGGACCCTCTCCTCCCTCTCCTGCCTCCCAAAAAAAGAATCTCATGAGGTAGGCAATGCAAGTGTTGTTAACCCCAAATTGCCTGAGAAAACTGAGACTCTGTGAGATTAGATGAAGTGCTCTAAGCCACACTGCAAAAACAGGCATATACTTCAGGGCTCTGAGTCCTAGCTCAGTGATCTTTACTTTGACCATGCTGAAAACTTTAAATATATTAGCCAGATAAGTGGTACAGTGGATTGAGCACTGGAGGTCAAGTTAAAAAGACCTGAGTTCAAATCTAGCCTCAGATACTAACCAGCCAGGTGACCCTGGCCAAGTGATTTGACCGCTGTTTGCTTCAGATTCCACATCTGTAAAATAGGGATAAATATAGCACCTAGTCCATGTAGTTGTTGTCTTTGCCAAAGCCTTACTGAAGGATCTCCAGCAATTCTCTGATCTACTTGTCTGGAAACTGTCAGAAAAGGAAATGGTGGCTCTCTGTGGTCATGAGCCCTTTGTTAGAGGTTCACAGATTCTATTCTCTCCCCTATTTTGAAAATCAGAATAAGATTTTATCTTTTGAAGATTATTCCTACTAGAACGTAAACACATCTGCTGGCACATTCATTACAAATTTTCTACAATTAGAAATTGGATATATGATGAAATAAGCAATTAAAGTGCATACCTTTAAGATACCACATCCCCAAGTATCTTGTCTCCCTGGTATCAAAAAATAAGATCCAACAGTCATTGATTAAGGTCTTATCACTGGTTTAGTAAGGTTCAGGATTCCACAGTATGACATGCAAAAGAGTGGCAGTCTCTTTTATCTACCATTTAGGTTGCTACAGAGAAAAGTCTGAGGGGCATGGGGTTTCAGCCAGGGCTCCTAGTAATAGCCCTCATCTCAGGGAGAAGGAGGGAGGCACTTGGGGGCACAGAGTTGCCTAAGCCAAGGCTTAGAAGGTAGTTGTGTCTACTGAGACTATTAGTCCCAGCCCTGGGCAACCCTGGGCACATAGAGGAGAGAAACCCTATAAATGTAAAAAATGTAATAAAAAAATTCACACATCAATCTAGTTTTTATATGGGAAATGTCTAATACT